CTTACCCGATAAGTGAGGACGACGATTCTTACCACGGTAAACGCTCACCAGGTAAATTGTTGCATATGATACCATTTTGGTGGACTAAAATCTTATCCGGTAAGTAAATGATAATGTTAAATTTTATCGATAAGCGCTTACCGGATAAGCGTTTGGTAAACGACCTTTTAATAAAATAATTAATAATTAATTGTTTTATTGTTTTAATGTTGGATAAAGGAGACATAGTGTGCGGGGAGGTGTCATCATCAAAGTTGGGGTTTTTTTAGGTGTCTAGAAGCTCTTGTGTCCCTTAAGTTTGATATCAATAAAGTGGAAGTTGATGCATACCATTTCTTTTTGTTTCCTTCTAAAAAAGAGACAAAAATAAAATAAAAATAAAAATAAAAATAAAAATAAAAATTAAGGGGGTATTTGATTAGAGGTATTTAGCAGTAATTAATGAAAATGAAAATAAAAAAAGTTGTTTATTTTTTTATATAATATAATTAGCTCATTTTCCCAAAAACACAAATTTCATTCGAGGTTAAATTAGAGGATTTGATTTTGTTAACCATTCATAAAAAAAAACGAAAATCTGTTAATATTTGTCTCGTAAATAAGGCAAATTAGATGAAAATATCACTAGTTATTATTATTTTTTATTAATCTGAATATCTAACCCGCTATACGAGCCGACTAATCTCAGGATGAAGCGGGTAGCCTGGAGTCACCGCATTTGAACCTCCATGGCCACAAAATGGATTTTTATTCCTCCTTGCATTTTAACATGGGACCTCCAGATACTTTTGATCTTTAGAGTCTAAGCTCAAACCAATCAGACACCACCCGTATGATTTAAGTTATTTATGCATAACAAAACCTCGAATTACATGATTAGAAAAGTAATATAATTAATAGACTATATTATTATTAGAAAAAAGAATATATAATTATTATTTTTATTAATGAAAAGGAAATGATGATAGTTGATATAAGAAAAACGTTTGTGTGGGCTGGGAAGCCACAAGCCGGAAACCGGACCCACAAACCGCCCCAAAAATAAAACCCGTTTGCTTAATTCGCACTGGACCATGTTTCCAAAAGCAAGCAAGCAAGCAAGCAAGCAAACAACCCTCCTTCGTTTTTTATTACATGCTTCTCCTTTCAACATCAACCAATCCATTTGGATATATAACCCAATTTAGTATTCAATCATACATTTTCACTTTCTTTTTCTTATTATTTTTTACGTTCGTTTGCACCTCGGTTAATCTTATGGATTCAGAAATTAACGGTAGCAAACACAAGAACAAACCAATTGTGCTACCCCGACTTGTTACTTTTGATATTTTATTTATTTGTAATTGTCTTTCGAGATTGAAGGATTTTAATGTGTTTTAAAAATCGGGAAAAAGAATCAGTATAGATTGAGTAAAACGTATGTTGTTTGTCTGTTGATGTAATCTTGATGATTTATGATGTGATATTTAAATATGAGATTGAAGGTCTACCTCTATGTTATCATGGAACCGAACTGAAACTAACACATTTAGTATGTCAAATTCGAAAGCAGGGTATGTGGGGTGAGATGTATGCAAACCTGTAATCTACCTCAGAGAGTAGAGCGACAATCTTTGTAAAGATCCTTTGGCTTGTGAAACCTCTATGTTATTGTAAGTGAGTTCAAATCCTATGATGGTGTTTTAGGTAACCAATGTTTCATATCAACAATGATGGCATAAGTCCCCAGGGTGTAGCAAAGTTTGTACCATGGTTCGAGTCTAATCACTAGTATGAGAGTTACAATTGATCATTCTGGGATTCAGTTACTTGTAGGCAATAGACTTTTAAAACAACCACCTAACATACATATTGTAACTGATTTGTCTCTCATATGATGCTTTTGAGGCTGGACGATGTGGGCCAGCTCAAGGATTGTCGGTTACAAACCCTTTTGCACAACCAGTAACAACAAAAAACCTTTGGCTTTAAAAGAAAACAACAAAAAACCTACGGAAGGGACAAAATTTTGAAAAGAAAGTTTATGAAAGGAGAAAGATCATTTAATATAGGATTTCTACTAACTTGTTTAAAGGAGGTGACGACACCTACTAGCCTCTTCCTATTTTCATCATTGTTTCTCTTTACAAGTCCTTACAGTCCTGCGACATCTTCACATGTTGCGTAAAAGCTGACGGGATTATTTATTTACACAACCTACAACACTAGAAATCCTTATAATTAAGTAACAAATACATGAACAAAAACAATGAGTGTAGTCGTAATCTTGATATTGTATCTGTTAGTGTCTATTTTGGAGAATCAATTCTCAGAAGCTCGATTTTAATAAACCACCTTTCAAAACTTCTCAATTTAGGGAAATAATTTTCAAAATTCTCATTTTATTGATACCAAAATGAGACAAACTTTGATTTCATTCCTACTTTAAGAGTGCCAATCTGGTCACTAGGTCTCTTAAGCAAGAAATTTTGAAAGTTGATTTCCTAAAATGAGAGTTCTGAAAGTTAGTTATCCAAATAAAATAAGGCAATAATGACAACTTCAATTCTATTTCAGTGCAATTCGCCAAAGGAAAAAAAACTAACTTATACAAAAAAAAAAAAAAAACCAATTATTAGTTTCAAGACATTTTTGTTGTAGGGTAAGCGTGTCATAATCTGAAGGATATGACGATCTAGATATAGATAAACATATTATTAGATAGATTATAACTAATATCTATCATAGCTATCTACTTGTATCACATCCCTATTTAAAGGGCTTTGATTAATGAGAATTACAAATTCTTTCTCTCTATTTTGTTGTTGTTTTATTTTATTTATACTATAACACGTTATCAACGCGTATGCTCTATGAATATAATCAAATCTGACTCCAAAACTAAATCGTTGTTTCTATTATGAGATAAACTCATGTACAATACAGTCCCATCAATTAAATCAGATACTTTTTTCGTTCTTTTACATTTTAATTATCAAGACTTGATGACAAATCTTTCATATGTGTTCATGCTTATAAACAACGACCAAAAAAATTTGTTTCTTGGAAGGCAGGTTTAAAAGCAAGATTCCGGGGTTAGCAAATTCAGTTCGTTAACTTTAGATTCTCTTGTTTAAGATCTTAATTTCTTTTCAATATACTATTATATTTTACTTTAATTAGTTTAATTGCTATTGTTATATATCAATGTAAGTTTGTTTACTTGATTACATTTTGAAACCCTACTATATTTTTATTAATTATGATATGAGCTTTGATAATAATGGACTTACTATTATTTACTACTGGGTTAAAATATGTTTTCGTTGGACCAACAAGCTACATGTAATTTATATTGGTTATAACTGATTGTAGACTATCTTGAGGTTATACAACTTAAAAATTGTTGTAAGGAATTAGTTAAAAAAATTATATTCTTGAACCAAAGTTTTTTTGTTGGGGGGACTGATATAAATATAGCTCGTTGTATTTGTTGATTGGTTTCTTTATTTATTAAATACTAGTTGGATACCCGCGCAATGCGGCGGGATGCGAATGTTTTTTGTAAATCGAAGGTATGACGTTTATGATCATTATAAACTTCAAGTTTTATTACGGTTGATTGACCGAAGATTTGAAAAGAGAATTGCACGATTAACGGATTTCCAAACATACATCAATTGTTATTCTTAGATTGTTTAATAATGATTTTCACTTAATGCAACTCATGATCAACAAAAAAAAAATAATGTTTAAACAAAACAGAGATATAATCATCTAAAATAATATAAATCGACACATACACAGTATGAGAAGATACCACTTGAAGCATCCATATGTAGATATACCCTGTAAGAAATGTCTTATGATTATAATATAGTATAGATATCAAGCGTAGTTGTAAAAAATGTGTAATAGTAAGTACTCGTTTGTACCTTATTAATCGCGTAAAACTTCTTGATACACCACGTTTGATGTGTAGACTCCGTCACGATTGAATTTTTTAGCAGGCTTTATTAATACCTTTGTATTTTCACGTGATGTCCCTCTTGATAACGCCACATAAAGTTGTCCGTGAGAGAATACTGATTTCGGTAGATACATACCTACATTAGAAATGGTCTGTCCTTGAGCTTTATTGATTGTCATAGAAAAGCTAAGCCGGACTGGAAACTGTTTTCTCTTTAATTTGAAGGGGAACATGTTATCTTCAGATGGACAAAGAGGAATTCTCGGCAAAAATACTCTCTTTCCAGCATGCTGACCAACAGCTATTTCTGCATCGATTATGTTCTGTTGAAAACCTCTACATATCATTCCCGTTCCATTACATAAGCCATTAGAGGGATCGATATTCCACAATAGTATTATTGGGCATCCAATTTTGAGCCGGAGGAAATGCGGGGGCAAACCACTAACAGTCAGCGAGTTTAAGAACTCCATTGGATAGAAGTTATTTCTATCATCTTCTGCTTCATCAAAACTGTAGTAAACTTTTTCATCGCCGCAGAATCTATCAATCAACTGATCATTAATYTCATCGACATTTTCATTTTTTGTTGATAATATCGCCCTCGAAATAATATAGTTTGAATCTGYTCCGTTGATTTGCAGAGATGGAAATATTGCGTCAATCAAATCATGCTTTGATTTATCTTTATCAGTATAGGCAATGGCCATGTCATCGGGAATATGTATAAAGCTTTCTTCCATCATTTCTTCATCTCCATCACCCATTCATAATAGAAAATCTGAAAACCATGGATCACTTCGTGCTCTCATATTGAGAGTTAAACGTATTTTTTTAATTGAAGACCAAAGAGGTGACATTCGTAGGCTTGAATCTACAATCTGTACTCGGGTTCCACGTCTCACGACCGGTAAGACCTGTCTAAAATCACCTCCCATAACCATTATTTTTCCACCGAATGGTAGTGTCACCCCTGTGATGTCTTGCATTGTTCGATCAAGCGCCTCCACCGCCTGCCTCTTAGCCATTGATGCTTCGTCCCAAATGATTATATTTGCATCCCGTAGCATTTAGCAGTTCCGCTTTGTTTTTTTATGTTGCACATGGAGTTGTTATCAAGATTAAGGGGAATTTTAAATCGGGAGTGAGCTGTTCTCTCCCCAGGCATATTATTAGATGCAACACCTGAAGAAGCAGTGGCAAGAGCAATGAGACCACGAGAACGAATGTTGGCAAGCAATGCTTTGTACAAATAYGTTTTTCCAGTCCCCCCTGGACCATCTATGAAGAATACTCCTGAAYGATCATCGTCTACGTGCTTCATGATCTCATCATATGCGTATGTTTGGTCGAAATTATGGGATTCTCGGGCATGTAAATGTTCGTCTTCCACAACTATGGAGTATTCCTCTTGTACCTCATGAAAACTTCCAAATTGTAAGTTCGTATCTACATTTATCTTTGGAAGATCGAAATCATCAAGATTTTTACCCATAGATTGTAGAAAGCTTGTGATGTCAGTTAGGACAATATTCCGAACTCGGTCAACACTTTCGCATTGTCGTCTATAATCTTCTGAAAGTGAATCGTAATGCTGATCCCACAACTTGCGAACATCTCCTGGCTCACAATAAATTAATATTATCACAAATTCAGAGCTTTGGGAAACTGAAATAAAGAAGCCTCTGCAAGACATTGTGATAAGTTATCGTCTGTCTCTATTAAGCCTCTCTCAAGTGCTGCTTTCGGGAATGTCGGGTATAATATGCCATTGACTGTGAATAGATCTTTAAAAGATGTAGGCCCACTAATATGAGATAAAAGTAGGAGTAGGTAGTACCGCTCTCCTTCGACGGGATTAGCATAAACCAATCGTCCTATCATTGATCCTTGTTTTCTCTGATTCCAACGACGTGCGCTCACATTCCATGTGTAATGTTTTGGAAAGTCTTTATATAAATGTTGTCTTGCACTCTCGTCTTCTTTATTTCTGTCGAAAAATGCAGTCAACATTGTTCGTTTACCACTCTCTCTAGCAACAATATCTGTCATTACATCATCATCTCTGAACCTAACCATCTGCCTATTAGGGAGATGGATTTGCAAAGCCATCACATAAGGTTGAATTTGATAAAGCGCAAAGCTAAAAATCCGCCACATTGCCTCCGGGGGGAGACATAACACGCATCTTGAAACCTTTTAATCTCATTAATGACACTCTGTCTTTCGTCTGGATCTATATGCATAACTTGTTTATCATGAMCCTTGTAAATATATTTGAAGAGATATTTCACAGATGTTATACTTGAGCAAGCCTCAACATTAATATGACAGTTGAACATCATTAACAATTTTGGGTTATACGGGACAACCCATCTATTATCCAGTGTATTGGCTCGTACATTCACATCTCTTCCAATATTTCTGCTCCAGTATAACGGATATGAGTTCTCAGCCTGTGATGTCTTATCGTTAAATTGTCTAGGATATCTAAAACGACAGATTTTTGGCTCACCTTGCATGCAAGGACTGGACGGTCGTAAATGACCGCAAGGACCATGCATCATGTGTTGGACAACCAACTGGTGCATTTAAGGATACTTTGCTGGGTCAGGAATTTTAGCACATACAATCTTGTCGTAATGATCTGGATTGGTCATTTTGTCATAAGGTCTCATTATCATGAGAAAATGTGCATGCGACAATCCACGCTTCTGAAACTCGATGACATAAACATATGCCTTGACAGTGCCGATGATCTTCTTTTGGAAGAGTTGGTCCTTGAGATCCTCTAATTTGGCACAAAAAATTCTTGCAACAAGGTCCAGTCGATCTTGTGCAGTCTGACCGGGCAATAACTCTTTAAAGATTTCTGGCCATTTTGGATTACACGTCATTGTAAGGAATATATCGGATTTCCTGTCATCTTGAACTAAAGTCATAGCATCCAAAAATCATCGCCGCATGTCACGTGGGCCTCCTATAAAACTTGCAGGCAACACAACTYGTTGTCCAACTCTACTTGGTTGAACTTCACCGGCATTAACGCAATCCACAATGCCTTGATATAAATCCGCTCTTATCTTGGTTTGGTTAAGTTCACAGAAAYGCAAACGTGAAGTCTCGATCTTGATGTATATATCTACCATGAATTGTTGTAGTAATCTTCCCCCCAATAGAATAACATTATCGTTTGAACGGATCTGGAACTTGTAACAGTAGTAWTCCCGCATAGCTACAGTATTTCTACACCTTCTTGCATAAGTCTCTGTGTAATTCTCATTTTGTTAGAGTTATTTGTTGTTCTATACCCCTATTTTATTGTATCTTTGGTACCCATTTTGCTCCTATCCTATATTTTTTACCCAAATTATGTTAAGAGGTGATGAAAGGTTAAGAATTTAATTATTGTCTAAAAAACTCTTTATTGTTGGTAAATTTGGCATCTAGTTGGATTTAAACAAAATTATGATATTCATATTCTTGGATATTATTGGGAGTTAATGCTAAGTTCAAATCTAATTACTTGGTTGCATGGAAGATTGAACCTAGTTATGGGATGATGAGACTGGGAAGAGTTCTATTTGTACCATGATGGAATGACTTTCCTATCATGTTTAATGATAGTACTTTTCACCTTTTGCAACCTATCAATGAGGAGGTGACTTGGTCAAGATTGAATAAGACATGTGGTGATGGGTGGTCATTACCCATTGGACAAAGAGTATTTGGGTCCCACYTTTCCYCCTATATATTTGAAGRCATCTCCAATCCATCTCAACACCAACTTTTCCACCAGCACCTTGGAGCATCTTATTTAAAGCTTTATAGTAGGAGAACTAGTTTATATTCAGTTTGTAATTTAAATTTCGTAGTTCAGCTGTTATTCTCGCCACTGCATTGTGTGCCCTCTGTGGGCACCAGTAAGTATTTATTTTCAGTTCAAGTATTTCTTATGCAACTTTCTTCTTCTATTTCTGTTATATTTTCTAATTTCAATATGAGCTAAGCACCCCTTTGGGTGTGGGTGTGAGTCTAGCTTAAGGATTTAAGGGCACACTTGGGTGTTGCCATTTTTATTGATTCTTAAGCTTGGTCATTTAAGTCGGGATGTAAACTCAAAGCGGATAAGCCAATCACTTTGAAGTGTTAATATTAGATCCTTGATCCAGAGATGAGCGGATCTGAAATACGGCTTAGATGATGCACAAAGGTTCGAGAGAGTCTTTGATAATCACGCAGAGATGCGGGTTTTGCATGTTTTTAGCTTTTGTTTAGATATTAGTCGAGTTTATGCTACAATACGTTGTGAGTATAAATCTTCAGA